AATTGTCAAAATTGTGAAGTCGAAAAATTGAGAAATTAAATATGGAGAAATTGAAAAATTAAAAATAGAAAATGAAAACTGGAATAACATCCAAAAATTGAAAAATTAAAAACCGAAAACTAGTGAAATTACAAATCGAATAATTGACTAAACAAAAGAAAAAACGTTAAAAATTGAAGAATTGCAAATCAAAAAATTGAAAAAAGAAAAATCTGAAAAACAAAAAATTCCAAAATAGGACTATCGAAAAACCAAAAAATTGTAAAAATAAAGAAAAAAAAAACCTTGACGAAAAATTGGAGAAATGAAAAAATGAAAAGCGATAAATTGAAAAATTAAAAATCAAAAAATGGAAAAGTGGAATAAATTGATGAAAAATAGTAAAAACCAATCACTGAAAAATACAAAAATTCTAGAAATTATAATTATTCTTACATATTTAAAATGAAAACTAGAAAAATTTCAAAACAAAAAGTGAAGAAACACAAAATTGAAAAATCGAGAAACTGAAAAATCTATAATTGAAAAATTTAAAACCGAAAAATTGCAAAATCTGAAAGTTAAAACCCCGAAAAGTTGGAAATTCGAAAAATTTAAAAATTTAAAAATGAAAACTCGATCTTAAGACTGAATAAACAAATTAAAAAAAATGAAAAATTATTGAAAAATTGCGAATCGAAAAATTAAAAAATCAAAAAATTGGAAAAATAAAGAAAACAAAGAACCGAAACGAAAAATTGCTAATACAAAACTGAAAAACAATTTTAAAATGGAAACATTGAGTAATCGAATAATTGAAACATTAAAAATTGTAAATTCGGGAAACTCAAACCCAAACATTGCAAAATCAAAAAATAAAAAAAATTAAAAACTGGAAAATTGAAAACCCAAGAAATTTAAACTAGAAAACTTGCAAAATTCCAAATCGAAAAACTGATCAAACAAAAAAAAAAGACAAATACTTTTTCATTGAAAAAATTTTAAAATTGAAAAGTCGAATAGTTGTCTAATTTTATCTTTCTCGAATTTTAGTTTTTTCATGTTTCAGTTCTTAATTTTTTCCGTTCTTCAATTTGCAATTTTTCCATTTTTTCTAATTCCAAAAATTAAAAAATCGAATAATTAAAAATCGAAAAACTGAAAAACCAAAAATTACAAAATCGAAAAAATGTATGAATCAAAACATTGGAAGGAAGAAAAAACGAATCAAATCGAAAAATGATAAAATTGTCAAAATTGTGAAGTCGAAAAATTGAGAAATTAAATATGGAGAAATTGAAAAATTAAAAATAGAAAATGAAAACTGGAATAACATCCAAAAATTGAAAAATTAAAAACCGAAAACTAGTGAAATTACAAATCGAATAATTGACTAAACAAAAGAAAAAACGTTAAAAATTGAAGAATTGCAAATCAAAAAATTGAAAAAAGAAAAATCTGAAAAACAAAAAATTCCAAAATAGGACTATCGAAAAACCAAAAAATTGTAAAAATAAAGAAAAAAAAAACCTTGACGAAAAATTGGAGAAATGAAAAAATGAAAAGCGATAAATTGAAAAATTAAAAATCAAAAAATGGAAAAGTGGAATAAATTGATGAAAAATAGTAAAAACCAATCACTGAAAAATACAAAAATTCTAGAAATTATAATTATTCTTACATATTTAAAATGAAAACTAGAAAAATTTCAAAACAAAAAGTGAAGAAACACAAAATTGAAAAATCGAGAAACTGAAAAATCTATAATTGAAAAATTTAAAACCGAAAAATTGCAAAATCTGAAAGTTAAAACCCCGAAAAGTTGGAAATTCGAAAAATTTAAAAATTTAAAAATGAAAACTCGATCTTAAGACTGAATAAACAAATTAAAAAAAATGAAAAATTATTGAAAAATTGCGAATCGAAAAATTAAAAAATCAAAAAATTGGAAAAATAAAGAAAACAAAGAACCGAAACGAAAAATTGCGGATACAAAAAACTGAAAAACAATTTTAAAATGGAAACATTGAATGATCGAATAATTGAAACATTAAAAATTGTAAATTCGGGAAACTCAAACCCAAACATTGCAAAATCAAAAAATAAAAAAATTTAAAAGTTGGAAAATTGAAAAACCAAGAAATTTAAACTAGAAAACTTGCAAAATTCCAAATCGAAAAACTGATCAAACAAAAAAAAAAGACAAATACTTTTTCATTGAAAAAATTTAAAAATTGAAAAGTCGAATAGTTGTCTAATTTTATGTTTCTCGAATTTTAGTTTTTTCATGTTTCAGTTCTTAATTTTTTCCGTTCTTCAATTTGCAATTTTTCCATTTTTTCTAATTCCAAAAATTAAAAAATCGAATAATTAAAAATCGAAAAACTGAAAAACCAAAAATTACAAAATCGAAAAAATGTATGAATCAAAACATTGGAAGGAAGAAAAAACGAATCAAATCGAAAAATGATAAAATTGTCAAAATTGTGAAGTCGAAAAATTGAGAAATTAAATATGGAGAAATTGAAAAATTAAAAATAGAAAATGAAAACTGGAATAACATCCAAAAATTGAAAAATTAAAAACCGAAAACTAGTGAAATTACAAATCGAATAATTGACTAAACAAAAGAAAAAACGTTAAAAATTGAAGAATTGCAAATCAAAAAATTGAAAAAAGAAAAATCTGAAAAACAAAAAATTCCAAAATAGGACTATCGAAAAACCAAAAAATTGTAAAAATAAAGAAAAAAAAAACCTTGACGAAAAATTGGAGAAATGAAAAAATGAAAAGCGATAAATTGAAAAATTAAAAATCAAAAAATGGAAAAGTGGAATAAATTGATGAAAAATAGTAAAAACCAATCACTGAAAAATACAAAAATTCTAGAAATTATAATTATTCTTACATATTTAAAATGAAAACTAGAAAAATTTCAAAACAAAAAGTGAAGAAACACAAAATTGAAAAATCGAGAAACTGAAAAATCTATAATTGAAAAATTTAAAACCGAAAAATTGCAAAATCTGAAAGTTAAAACCCCGAAAAGTTGGAAATTCGAAAAATTTAAAAATTTAAAAATGAAAACTCGATCTTAAGACTGAATAAACAAACTAAAAAAAATGAAAAATTATTGAAAAATTGCGAATCGAAAAATTAAAAAATCAAAAAATTGGAAAAATAAAGAAAACAAAGAACCGAAACGAAAAATTGCTAATACAAAACTGAAAAACAATTTTAAAATGGAAACATTGAGTAATCGAATAATTGAAACATTAAAAATTGTAAATTCGGGAAACTCAAACCCAAACATTGCAAAATCAAAAAATAAAAAAAATTAAAAACTGGAAAATTGAAAACCCAAGAAATTTAAACTAGAAAACTTGCAAAATTCCAAATCGAAAAACTGATCAAACAAAAAAAAAAGACAAATACTTTTTCATTGAAAAAATTTAAAAATTGAAAAGTCGAATAGTTGTCTAATTTTATCTTTCTCGAATTTTAGTTTTTTCATGTTTCAGTTCTTAATTTTTTCCGTTCTTCAATTTGCAATTTTTCCATTTTTTCTAATTCCAAAAATTAAAAAATCGAAGAATTAAAAATCGAAAAACTGAAAAACCAAAAATTACAAAATCGAAAAAATGTATGAATCAAAACATTGGAAGGAAGAAAAAACGAATCAAATCGAAAAATGATAAAATTGTCAAAATTGTGAAGTCGAAAAATTGAGAAATTAAATATGGAGAAATTGAAAAATTAAAAATAGAAAATGAAAACTGGAATAACATCCAAAAATTGAAAAATTAAAAACCGAAAACTAGTGAAATTACAAATCGAATAATTGACTAAACAAAAGAAAAAACGTTAAAAATTGAAGAATTGCAAATCAAAAAATAGAAAAAAGAAAAATCTGAAAAACAAAAAATTCCAAAATAGGACTATCGAAAAACCAAAAAATTGTAAAAATAAAGAAAAAAAAAAACCTTGACGAAAAATTGGAGAAATGAAAAAATGAAAAGCGATAAATTGAAAAATTAAAAATCAAAAAATGGAAAAGTGGAATAAATTGATGAAAAATAGTAAAAACCAATCACTGAAAAATACAAAAATTCTAGAAATTTAAATTATTCTTACATATTTAAAATGAAAACTAGAAAAATTTCAAAATAAAAAGTGAAGAAACACAAAATTGAAAAATCGAGGAACTGAAAAATCTATAATTGAAAAATTTAAAACCGAAAAATTGCAAAATCTGAAAGTTAAAACTCCGAAAAGTTGGAAATTCGAAAAATTTAAAAATTTAAAAATGAAAACTCGATCTTAAGACTGAATAAACAAACTAAAAAAATGTAAAATTATTGAAAAATTGCGAATCGAAAAATTAAAAAATCAAAAAATTGGAAAAATAAAGAAAAGAAAGAACCGAAACGAAAAATTGCTAATACAAAACTGAAAAACAATTTTAAAATGGAAACATTGAGTAATCGAATAATTGAAACATTAAAAATTGTAAATTCGGGAAACTCAAAGCCAAACATTGCAAAATCAAAAAATAAAAAAATTTAAAAGGTGGAAAATTGAAAAACCAAGAAATTTAAACTAGAAAACTTGCAAAATTCCAAATCGAAAAACTGATCAAACAAAAAAAAAAAGACAAATACAATATAGAGGTTATCAGAAAACAAAAATCGAAAAAAATTCTTCCTTCGACCAATTTTAAGAACAGGTTACCCAATATTCAGAATATTTTGTTCGATTGTGACTTAATTAATAATCATCTTAGTCCCATTTTGAAGAGGCAAATTCATTCAAATGAAACTAATTTCTACGTGACATTCTTTCGATGTTTAAACATAAACACTTGAACTTAAGCTTGTTATTAGTGCTGAGAGTACATTCTCTCCCTTGGACTATCTACTTTAAACATACAGAAGCGGGATTTGTTGGATTATATTCCAAGGAGTGAAATTCCGTCGCAATAACCTTCGACCACTAAAATCCGGCCCTCACTCCACACTTACCACAATCAGGTTCCACATTTTGGCGGCCTCGGCCACGGTGGTGCAGACGGTGCTGCAGCCGGCAAGTAGCATCAGCTTCTGGGGCTGGTTGTAAAGCAGATTATACATGACGCTGGCGCCCAGGCCGGGTTCACACTGAAAATTTACATACATTAGAGGCGGCCCTTCGACACCGATCCCGTATGCAAAGCATGAAAAAATCAACAAAGACACGACCGCGCCGATCGCATTCGACTTTCATGCGGTCAGGCCGTGGCAAAAGGGCGCTTTTCCTCCCGTCACAAGAATTCGATGCGATGACGAATGCCCGTTAATTAACGAATATTGGATGAGCATTACTTTTTGTTTGTTTCCATTTTCGACGTTGGCATTCGTTGCTTGTCTCCCAGCTAACTGGAATAAATTAATTAGCTAATTAATTGCGTGCTTCTTTCGTGGAGGCAACGAGAGATAAACATTTTTGCTACCGGTTCGAGCGAGGGGAGTTTATTTTCGATTCGTGCGTATGCGGAGGCAATTAGCATATTTTTCGAGATGTTTGTTTGAGTAGGGTTGTTATACTTGCTAGGTAAATACAGTGGCGTAACTACCGGTGTTCCATGTGTTCGCCGGAACACGGGCCCGCTGCTTCAAGGGGCCCGGTCCGGTCACACGAACATTTTTTTTTTATTAGATTTTTTATATTATTGCCCGAATTACATCCTGAAATAAAAAATTTGAAAATGTGTGGTAATCCCAGGATCGATGGTTCATTGTTATTTACTCGGGTTTTAGCGACCGGCACCGGCGGTCGAAAATGCATCAGCATCTGTTTCTAATAAACCTGCCACAGTGTCGCAATCCCATTGTGGCAAATCTAACACCCCATGTAGTAAATTACCAATCTTTATCCGACAAAAGTATGACTAATTTATGATGCAAGACAATAAAATACTTAAATTTTGTCCTCAGATCTACAGTGAAACTTCATGCTGTAACAAGACGTAAAAAAAAATTCAGTTTCAGTTGAGTTTTATGAACACTTTCGTATTTTCAAATAGTATATTATTAGCCAAGGTTGCAGAGCCAAGCATTCTAGACCGAGCGCAAATTAGAACCCGAGACGCGCAGCGTCGAGGGCTCTAAGTGCGAGGTCTAGAAGTGGCTTTGCAACCGTGGTTAATATACTATTTTTTTCACTAGTAGAAACCATAAGACAATAAACTGAAAAATAAACGTTCAATTTTTTGACACAACATGATTTTGTTTTGATTTCTAATCAAACTTAATCTAAATCTTCAACACAAAGAAAACCGTTTATATTTGTCGCTGAGTTAATCATTTTATCTTGTACCATCTACCAACTACCATGCGTATACTCAAGTAATGTTTGTAGCACACATTTGTTCATTTTTTAAGAAATAATCACATCAAACATTGCGTACATAACCTCAATTTTTCTTTTTGAACCGGTGGTAGCAAAAGTTGAATTTGCTACCACTAAATGAGTCGACATTTGCATGCGTCCAGGCTGCTAGTGAAAAAACTATTTTAATTTTGTACTAGTGGTGCTCTTTTGGAATAATAAAATATTTCTGATGTATGCTACAACTAATTTTTTAAGTAGAAAAAAAACTGGACTGGGAAATTATTACAGAATGACCTACCTGCACTAGTTTCACTGAAATTATCACAGCATGTTTCACTTTTCTTACAATACCTCTTTCGGTTTTTTCACCGGAAAGATCTTTTTGGAAATTAAAAATGACTAAAATTTTTTTAAGAAACACAATGGGCCTATCCAGATTATCTTCACTGAATCTCTCAATTGGAAATCAAATTGGTAGAAGCTTGGATGTGTAAAATTTTGTATCAACTTGTGCCCATTGGAAAGCAAGAAGAAAACAATTTTGAGATTAAAAAAAAAATATTTTTGTGTTGGATAGTCCATTTGTCGAGGAAGGTTATAGGCTATATAACATTAATAGAAGCGGAGCAGCAATGAAAAATATCGGAAAAACAGGAAAATTATTCCTCCTTTGACAGCTTCCGTTGCTTACGCTGCTTAAACAGTTAAAGTTACATAAAAATCCTGTATGATGGAATTGTTCCCTGCTAAAAGTTCTAAAAAAAAAGTCCGCGACAGCATATGTCTATCTTTTAAGGTCGACTCAGTATAACCTTTTATATGTTAATGAAATTTGTTCTAAAATAACACTAGTTTATAAGGTTTTATATCCAAAGACAAAAATAGTTTAATCTAAAGGATTTGGGTTCGGGAAATTCAAATCTGAAAACAGAAAAAATCCATCACGTCAGGTTTTTGAGATATTTATATAAACATACCCCGGATTTTTTTTCTTTTATACAACTCTTATAACTTTTTTATTTTTAAATATATATGAACATATAGTTCTTTAAGCAAATTTGTATCATTTTAAAAGACCATTTAGGTAAATAAATAACATGAGTGTCAATTTTTCAAGCTACTAGATTGTCATCAATGTGTTATTTAAAATTTTTCAAGTATTGATTTTAGAATAATTGGTTGCTTTTGACTTATCTACGGGAAGTGATAATAAAAATGTGAGGTTGACCTCACAAAGATCTTTTAAAATGATACAAATTAGCTCAAAGAAATACAGGTTTATCTATAAGAATAAAGAAGTTACAGGGGTTGTATCAAATAAAAGCACCACCCAGTATATATTATAAACATTATGACTGAAAATTAAAAATGGTTAACACTGACGTTCTTTTATTGGCAGTACTGTCTTTTTCCCTTATAATAGACCAACAGTAACACATTTTCGTCCCAAAAACCTTTATACATTCATTTTAAGCATATTTGAACAGGTCTTCTCGCTTTAGGTACTATAATTTTACCACAAATGTAACAAAACTGATTTGCACTTACTTTCCACGATCTCGAAGACATTTTTTATGCGACAATTGTGCATTAACATGAATCAGTTTAACACAAACGTGAAGGTAAAGCAAAGTTCATTATTTTGGATTTATGAGAAAACCTGACGTGATAAGGATTATCCGTTTTTGGATTTGTTATCAGTAAGTAATTTAGAAGTAAAAAATATTTTTTTTATTTTTGGATACGAAAAAAAGTTTAAATTTGTAAACTAGTGTAATCTAATATAAAATTCTGGTGTCACATTATTTGTAATCAAACTCCTCCGAAACACCTTGACCGATTTTTATGAAATTTTTTGTGTATATTCGGTAGGTCTAGTAAACTATTTTTTATACCCCTAAGTGATAAAGGTGGCCCACCAAGTTTTTTTTTATTTTTTAGACAACATTTTTTATTTTAATTTTTTTAAGATTTGGCATTAAAAATACATATAACTCTAAATTTTGACCCTTCTACCACCAACCCCCATTTTTTAATAACGATATGGGTATCTTTGCTTTCATCCACAGATGTGCAATAGCGTTGCAAGATTGCTATTGAATATAATCATTGTCGTACGATAAATTTTTATAATTTAATCTTTATATACAGCCTGTTATTGAAAGGTACGTACAAAATAAAATCGGCAATTGGTCTCGAAGTATGGGTGCTAAAAGTTAAAAGAACTTCAGGTAAAAGTGTTCACCTTTTAGAGATAAAAATTGTTAAAATTTATGTCCAAATTCGTTGTACGCCTCTGATAAAAAGATCATCTTTCGTTTCTATAGCAACATTTAGTTTTGACAAAAGTTTTATTGTTACAGTTGCTAGGATTTACTAAAATAAATTAATTTTACCTATTTATCCTTCAGTAGTGTCTAAAAAGGTTGGATAAGGGTTAATTTTCCCCTTATAAATTTGATAACACAAAATAAGTTGTTGCGACTTCTTAGACTTCGCGAAGAACTGTCCATTTTGTTGTACGTACCTTTCAATAACACCCTGTATAAAAGGCAATGTCCCGACTGACATATCAACGCCCAGCCCAAACCGCTAACGATAGAAAGTTGAAATTTGGAGAGAATGTTCATTTTATACTGGAGACATCGTTTAAGAAGGGATTTCTCGAAATTCATCCCCTAAGGGGGTTGAAAAGAGGTGATAATATTTGTATAGGACCAATATATCTACTGTAAATTTAGATTGTTACGTGAAACCTGGTACATTTTAATTCTCTTCAATACAAATAAGGAAATACGTATTTAAGCATTTTCGGAGATTCGACCCTTAAGGGGGTGAAAAGTGGTGTCTAAGTTTGGGCGGATAAGTTAGTATAGGAACAATATTTCTACTATAAACTGAAATTTTTACGTGAAACTTGCTATTAATGTTCTTCAACACAAATAATGAAACCCGTCTTTAAACATTTTCTAAAATTCAACCCCTAAGAGGGTGAAATATGGTGGCTAGATTTGTGTGGGAATATTTCTATTGCAAATTTAAAATTTTACGTGAAACTTGGCACTAATTGTCGCCAACACAAATAACGAAACACGTATTTAAGCATTTTCCGGGATTCAACCCCTAAGGGGGTGAAAAGTACTGGCTAACTTTGTGCGGAAAAAATGTTTCCATTGTAAAATTAAATTTTCACGTGAAACTTGGTATTAGTGCTGTTAAACACAAATAATGAAACACTATTTAAGCATTTTCCGAGATTCAACCCCTAAGGGTGTGAAAAGTGGTGGCTAATTTTGTATCCGAAAAATATTTCTATTGTAAATTTTGAGGTGATGTTTATTTAAAACTTGGTATTAATGCTCTTCAACACAAATAACGAAACACGTATTTAAGCATTTTCGGAGATTCGACCCCAAAGAGGGTGAAAAGTGGTGTCTAAGTTTGGGCGGCTAAGTTTGTATAGGAACAATATTTCTACTATAAATTGAAATTTTTACGTGAAGCTTGGTATTAATGTTCTTCAACATAAATAATGAAACCGGTGTTTAAGCATTTTCTAAAATTCAACCTCTAAGGGGGTGAAATGTGGAGGCTAAGTTTGTATGGGAAAATATTTCTATTGTACGTATATTTACATTTTTACGTGAAACTTGGTAATAATGCTCTTCAACACAAGTAATGAAACACGTATTTAAACATTTTCCGAGATTCAACCCCTAAGGGGGTGAAAAGTGGTGGCTAACTTTATATCGGAAAATTATTTCTATTGTAAATTTTTGACATGGAA